TAAACTAAGCATGGCTAGAGTGCCCAGTATTGGCAAAACAAAGACTTAGGTTAGACTCTGCTAAACTAAGCATGGCTAGAGTGCCCAGTATTGGCAAAACAAAGACTTAGGTTAGACTCTGCTAAACTAAGCATGGCTAGAGTACCCTGTATTGAAAAAAAAAAACACTCTGGCGTCAAGGTAGTGGCAGTCAGCAGCTTAAGACCACTCCACAGGTAATGAGGCAATGAGATGCAGGTGTGCAGGGAGACCCAATGAGGACGGGGCACCACCTGGTGGAGGAGGAAAGAAAGCACAAAAACAGACCAAACAAACTGGATTCCTGACACTAGGCTCAAAGATCTGATTGCTCTAAGTCTTCCAAATAAAACATTTCACCTAGACTGCAGGTTTCTTAGTAGTTTCTAGAGTTTCTAAAAGTAGAACAAAAATCAGATCTTGTAGTTTTCAGGCTCCTCTCCTGTCAAACCAATTCACAGATTTAGTCAGTCAGAAACTCTCTATACTTGTAGGCTCTACTTTTAACACTCTGCTTAAGACTTTCATTTTCATGAATCTTATAGTTAGACTGGTTTTATCTGGAGCTATCTCTGTAGTTTTGCTGCTGGAGGACATAATTCCTCATTCTGATACAATCTCCTTCTGCTTTCCAAGTTTGCATTATATGCAGTTATTCAAACTTGGAATTAAATTCCTTCTATTTTTTTTTCTCTCTTTGAAACCACGTCTGCCCTGAAGAGGCTGTCTGCTAAATCACTGATGCCAACAGCTTATGCTTATTCTTCTGTCGATCATACACCTATCCCTGTTTCTCTTTAAGCCATAGCTATTGGATGACATTTTACGGCGCCTTGTATGCTCACTCTTTCATCTTACTTTAAAAAAAAAAGCTTATCTGTGTTTATCTCCTAAATAGGCCACTAAAGAGCCACTAAAATCATTGATATGTTTAATTTTCTTTAGTATTAATGTCATGATTTTATCTAAAGCTCTGACCCACATGCAGAAGACCAAATAGAGAGACCAGGGAAAAGTTTAACAGGTTTTATTGAGAGTGGATGAGATGAGTCCAGTGCTGCTCTGAACTGGAAAGTGAAGGGGAAGATACTGCGGTTAGTTCAGGCTCAGTGGGAAATTAGGGTCTTTGATTTGAAGAAGGGGATTAAGGTTGCAGACTCACGTTTCCAGAAAAAGGTGTCTTGTTGAATCCAGTCAGTGTGGGTTTTTTCCAGTGAATGTCTTGCTCGTTGGAGGGCGGACAGGGTTTACCCAGATTGAGGTTTTTCCTTAGTGAACAGAGTAGCTGACTGCCATTTAGACTTCCTGCGGTACTTGAACGGGTTATTGTGGAGATGAATCCCCAGCTCAGAGAGACGCCCAAACAATCCTTGGGCGTAAGGTTGATCCAAGCCACAAACTTGAATCCTCAGCTCAGTTTGGTGCTCAGAGAGTCCTTCCAGGGGGGGAGAAGGTCCAAAACATCCAGCTTGCAGGATGACTTCCTGTCGAGAGGCAAAGAAAAAAAACAGCAAGGTTAAAACTCAGGTAGACCAAAACTCAGTTTGACTAAGCAAATTTCAGCTTGGCTAGAGTACCCAAAACTGGCAAACACTCTGGCGTCGAGGTAGTGGCAGTCAGCAGCTTAAGAGTTCTCCATTAATGAGGTAACCATCCGCAGGTGTGTGAGGAGGCCAACCAGAACAAGGAGCCGCCTGGTGGTGGAGGGAAGACAAACAAAAGCACAACCCACACAAACTGGATTCCTAACAATTAAAAGTTCTCCTGGATCAGTGATTATGTGTTAGTTCCTTTGGTTTGAGCACAGTCTGTCATGGCTGGTGTTCTTTTACATTGAACTGAGTCCTGTTGAAGGATTATACTTAAAAAATTATTATTTTTTTTGCTCTAGCTTCATGCATGCTCAGTAACGTCACACTTAAAGCTACTGCCCACTGACACATGCTCATCAGGGAAGAGGGAATGCTGCAAGTGGAGGATGGATGCAGTCTGCTGGGTTTTCTTAGATAGAAGACTGTTGTTGTAAAATTCGATTTGAATTGAACACATTGTTTTAATAACTCATTTTTTTCTGTAAAGTTCCTTCCTGACATGTTTTGTGAACTGGAGCTATATAGATCCGAAAAAAAGTAAAATTGAAAAATGTAAGTGGAAAAATGACAATTGCTTTTTTATTTATTTATATCCAGTTTAGCTTTCCCTCCATGGACGAAGCCATTAAGCTAATATAAAAAACACTGAAATATTAGCAGACAAGGGTGCTGAGGTATGAGATAAAGTCACATTAATTGTTAATATTATCAGTAATATGGAAGTAAAATACAACATCATTTGAAAAAAAGCGCAAATGAACAGTTTTTACAGTACTTTGCAAGAAAAGAAAGGCTTTCTTTGTTCTTTAAGGAGCTGTTCCTCTGCCGTGGTGCTGAAACGCCTGTCTTCGCTTCCCTAAAAAGGGTTTTTGCCAATTGTTTCTAATTGCCTATTAAACATAACCGCATATATAATGTGTTTTCGTTATATTAAAATGATTTATTTCACTATTTAACAAGTAATTCTTAACTTTTATAACGTGGCGTTGGGTTGATTTTTTAAGGATTCTATGAACAGTTTTTACTTTGCAAGAAAAGAAAGGCTTTCTTTGTTTTTTACATGACTCGGCCGTTTGCTTAAGGAGCTGTTCCTCTGCCGTGGTGCTGAAACGCCTGTCTTCGCTTCCCTAAGGGTTTTTGCCAATTGTTTCCAATTGCCCATTAAACATAACCGCATCTATAATGTGTTTTCGTTATATTAAAATGATTTATTTCACTATTTAACAAGTGATTCTTAACTTTTATAACGTGGCGTTGGGTTGATTTTTAAGGATTCAAACCAGAGTTTGTATCAGAAAACGGTTTTTCTTTCCCTTCTTTTTTTTTTTTTTTTTTTACAGCTTTAATATTATAGCTTTAAAATTATCTGCAAAAGAATCTGTTTTTATAGCCAGATAATAATGTTTTAAGTGGAGCTGTGATGTATATTTCTCGTAGAGAGTATGTGAAATGCTTTAGGCTACTTTACCAGAAATCAAAACACCTGTAACACACAGTAACATCACATCGTCGTTAAATTGCCATTAATCCCTTACAGCCGCAGCAGACGCACCGGGTATATGGGCTGGGTTGGCAGTCTTTGGTTGTAAATCCATGTGGGAGGAGGATGGGTGGGTTTAAGTGCAGCTATCAGGTCTTTTCTTCTCGCGCGCTCCGCGGTGCGCACAGACTGAGGAGAAAATCAAAGAGGAGGTCCACCTTCCCATGCGATGTGCAGCAGGTCAGTGAGCGCGCGACACTAACTCCACAGACTGTCCCCGCATTCAGATAACTAAGCCCACTACAATTTGCTCTCTTCTATTTTTTTACTTGATTTATTTTTCATCCACTCAATGCTAACTCCCCTCCATCCTCTCCAGCTTCAACATCTGTGAAGTGGCTGCCTCACCCGGTCGGACCGGAGGCCGTCTGGTCTCCGACCTGGTCTCTGGAGTGTCCAGGGGAGACTCGACGCGCTCTGTCGGGGCCAGGCTGTGCGCCTCTCGGATCTCCCCGGAGCCGGCGCGGGCTCTCGCCATGGAGATGATGGAGGGGAACGTTATGGACAAGCTGGAGGACATGTCATCCGTGTACGACTTCGACCCGATTACCGGCAACATTCCGGCCACTAAAGTGGAGATCACCGTCTCCTGCAGGTGAGTGGGCGCCGGGGATGCGTGTATGAAAAGTTTAGGAATAGGGAGAAAGTTGTGAGAGAGCCCCACCCTTTCTTTGGGATTTATTTAGTGCCAAAATGATGGAAAAAGGCTTACTAAGTTGCTCGTGTGGTGTTTAAATAAAAGCAAAATGGATCTTTGTCCAGGGCATGGCGTTGGAGAGGAGGGGGTGGATGGGGACCAGTTGTGCCAAAGAAAGAGATTTATTCCTTTATTGCATGTTTGGTTATTTTAATCATGAAGATAATGTTGGAAACTATATTGATAACTTAAGTTGTTTCCTTTCATGTTAATTTGCATGTTTAATTCGTAGACATTAGTATCCTGCCACCTTTATTAGAAATAATAGCAATATTTGATACATAAAGGAACTAAACAGTTATGGTTAAATGCAGTATTAGTGGCAGTAGAATCATTATACTGTAAGTATTTTGTGTTTTAATTTCTATTTTAAAAATCTATTATGTTTATGAAATGAGAAATGAATAGCCTCTCTCATACTGTAGGTATCTGACTGCTTTCAGCACCAACAGATAACTAAAAACCTCCACCCTTTCTCTCCTGCATTTTTTAAAAAGGGGACTTAAATTTTCAAAGCTCTGCATCACATTCATTCTTCAGCCATGTCCTTGGCCTCCAGCTCACTCTCCATTCTGTAATATTGTAGTATTTTGTTTTCATTTTTGTTTCTAAATGTTTGCTTGAGCAGATCAATCTTACCACACAGTCACAACCATTCTTACAAGAAATAATTTTCTTTATTTTTTTTAGATTAGGGGCTCACAATGCTCTTCATCCCTTACATTTTCAGACGGTAGCCCATTCACACAAACCTTCCCACATGTGTCTGCTCTTTGATGCTGGGTTTTGGGTTTTGTGAACCATCAGAGCTGAGTGAGTTTGAGGTATAACAAGCTGTGAGTGCATTATTGATGGGTACTCTGACCTTCAGAGAAGCTTTCTTCAACATCTCTCAGCTCAGACAGGTAAAAAAAATATATATATAAAAATACAGACCCTGTTAAGAAATTTGCTGAATGAACAAGGTTGATGTTGCAAATGGAAACCTAGTAAAGAGCCAATTTATATGGATAGAGGATGGGAAGCAAAATGCAAGCTTTGAGCCCAAGGCAGAGCCTGGCATAAATTTTAGATTTGAGTCTTGCTTGGTGGCTTTGAGACGATTGGGCTTACATCATACATGATACGCAATTAAGCACCATTGAGGAAAATGATGAGCTCCATCCTAAACCTCCTCTGCATTTATGCAAATAACTCTTCTGATAAGTTGCATGTTCCCATGTTCATATGTGTTGGAAAAGTAGGAGAAATAAAAGAAGTGTGATAATTCCTTCTATCAGAAACAAATAGCATTTGGGAAAAACAGCAGTTAAGCCAAGAAGGAGGTTGGTGCTCCCTTCCCCCTACCGCTGCACTCCCAGTGTTTCTGTTGGAAACAACCCATAAGATATGCAGACAATTTACATTTTCAATGCAAATCATATGGAAAGTAAAAAAATAAGCTGTTTACAGTCATTAAACTTAAAGCTCTGTGATTGTGCTTGATGTGCCAAAAGTTTGGGCCAAAAAAACACAGTTTTTTTTTAGGATGAGTTTGTTCCTTTCTGCTTAAAATGTCAGCTTTGGAGCCACGGTGCTGTGTTGCAGTCATTACTCCTCGTCTTTATGGAGAAATTTAGTCACAAGCCATAATGATGCCCTGAGTGAACACCTCCTTCTGCTATTCCACATACTACCAAAGATACTACACCCCCCTAACCCCCCAACAGCCACACACATTCCTGTTTTTGTGACATATGGGGACATTTCATTGACTTGCATTCATTTTATATGGCATAACCCAGACCCCTAAGGGCAGATTATACTTCTGCATCTGCACACATCAAATGTCACTTGGGTCTGGTCGTGAACTAGTTTTGCTGGTATGCTACTGCACGGTTGGTCTGGAATTTCTAGGGACACACAGCAGTTTCTCACCAAAGTGCAAGGGGGAGCCTATTCGAGAGCTCTTGAGAACTTGGGCAAATGGTCACGAGAACTTCGGGGGTTCTGGCGGGAGTGTGTATCTTCCAAAATAACAATGGCGCGTGTGCAAGATATCACGGTCACGGTGATGGATCTAGAGTTGCTAGACATGGAAGAGGAACAGGTTCTGTTAAAGGAGCGAACCTCCTCGATTAACCTTTCATCGTAGTTGTCGATTGTAGTTGTTCCTCGGTTTTTAAAAATGGCGCGCCCTGGTACCGAATAGAGGACGACCACACAGACAGCCAGAAAGGCATACCAAGGGCCAATCACAGCTGCTTGTTGTCTGCGCACTTCCGCTTAAGGTCTGCGCGTGCTTGCGACATTCCGACGCATAGTCAGGATTTTTTTAGGTGCGTGACAGAACCGTTGCAGAACCTCTGCGGGGGGCGTGGTCACGCACAGAGACAGATTTGACGGTTGCAGAGGCTATGCGTCAGAAGCATAAATTGGCCTTTACCCTAACCCTATTACCAACATTTACCTAATCCTAACCCTAACCTGAACTGAATTCACACCTCAGTCCTCAACCTAGCCTCGGCTCAAAGAACTTTACCATATGGGGACCAGGATTTTGGTCCCCATAAAGACATGGGTCCCCATATATATATATATATATATATATATATATATACAGCTATTAGAACGCAGAATATATATTTATTAAAGCTATATGTATATATGTATATATATATATATATATATATATATATATATATATATATATATATATATATATAAAGCTAACGATTTTATTTTTTATGTCATTTTATAAGAGTTTTGCAGGACGTATTCATTCAATCAATGCTTGATATTATATATACTGTATGATAAAATACAATCCCTTTAAATAGTCTCCTCTACATACTTTCATAACGCATATCTACAATTGTTCTAATACTACTAAGTATTAAAATGCTCTCTTTAAGATTTACACAAATACAGTCTATTCTAATACAGTCTCAGTTAGGTGACACGTTTTCCAGTGAAGGTCTAACTATGTAAATCAGATAAACAAAAGCTGTCTAGACTGATTCAAAGAATACAGGAAACATTTTTATTTAGTGCCAAATTATAAAATCCGTAAAATAAGAATAATATTAAAATGAAATAATAAAACATCTATGGAGGACCTAACATGACGATAACATGATGATGCAATGGCTTGAAACTTCCTAAACATAAATGTTAATAACAATAAAAGTTGGCTTCTTAATGATCATTCTGAGAAAAAAAGGTATTCTTTAGAAGTTTTATTTAATCTCAGTTAAAAATATACTACTTCTATGTTTTTGTTGCTTTTATAGCATTAACATGAATCTTTTTGTCCTTTTACATGTGAATTTTACCAAGATGGTGCAACACTGCAGATACCGATTAAAAATAAGTAAACATTTGTTAAATTTATCCTTTTTTCCATTTATTTGAGTAGGTACATAAGATGATCTGCTGATAAAATACAATTTTTTCCCCCCCTTAATATAAGATTACTTGATATTATGCACTAGTAAGATAATAGATTAGCTTTTTTCTTATTTTGAATGTAAACCATCTAATTTGATTCTCTAAATGTCCTGCTCAAAAGGGCAGAAATCCCCCATTTCAAGCAAAAATTGCGTTGTACGTACATATACTTCATTTTTTGCAGGCTAAAGCAGACCTGATCTATGCTAAACTGTATTATTTAAGGCTTTCATGGAACTATGATATTTTTGGCATTTTCATCTCAATAATTGTAGTAATTATATTTTTATAGCATTGATTTAAGATATATTTTCATAAATGTTTTGTGTTTGCTGGTGAATATTTGCTGACTTCCTAGATAAAAATCTAGCAAATAAGAAAACATTGCAGGTTAACAGGTTTTCATGCTCAGTGACTTTAAAGCATTCTTTCTAAGTCTGATAAGTCTTTTGGTAAAAGTTAATGATTTGGAGGGTTAGAATTATCAGCTGGTGTTTCCCGGTCATGAATGTCGAACAGAGAAGGCATCCAAACATCCTTGGATGTTGAAACCTTGCATGATGGTTTCTCTTCTGTCGACACCCGCTGGTTCAACAGCTGCTTCAGTTTTTCAGGGAGCAGAAGAAATAAACATCTTTCTGAAACATTCAGACATCCAATAACCTCGTTAGTCCTCTAAGTCCTTTGACCAGATGTTCTATGAGTCAGATTCCTTTTCAGGAAAGAAGTGTCAGTGTTCACTAGTGTTTGCAATTTTCAAATGCGTGCTCGCTGTGATGCCCCCATCCATGATGATTGCTCTTCCCCGAGGGTAAATACCCCTTATTACAAGCTACAGCCATGCTTTTGACAACGCACCATTATCAGGACCCGTGTCAAACAGAGGGGGGTGGTGAGCTTCTGTTCAGGGAAATGGGGGGAAATGATATGGAATTGGTTGGTCAGTCGTTCAGTTTGGGAAGGCAAGTCAACCATTCGGTGGTAAGAAGAAAAAAAAATATTTTTGCTTTATTTCATGAAAGATTACACAAGAACTTAAAATATTTTTCTTCAAAGATGGTTATTTTTGTTTTACTCATTACAATCAGAAACCTAAATAAATTTTATTGGGATTTTAAATGATAAAGGAAAAACAATATAGTAGACATATAATCAACTCAAATTTGTTTTTTAGGATTTCAGGCAGCAGCAAACATTTAGCTGAATAGAAGGTCATACCAGTGAATCACATCTACTAATAGCACTGTTAGTGACTTTAATGGCTCTATTATCATGATTGTTCTAACTACAGCTCATAAGCCTGTTCATTCCAACCAGAATTAGAACTCCTTACATAAGAAGTTTAGTTGCTTTCTTCGTTAACATTCAATAGTAGCCGGTATTCAAAAATAAAATGAAACATATTTGTTTTTAGAATCAGTTCTGAATCTGCACTTTGTGGATCTGACTTTCTCTGCATTTGCTCTTTG